CCCGGCTCCACAGTCTTCCCACAGCTCCCTATCGCCTCTGTAACCTTGGACTGCCACGCACTGACCTTGGGCGGGTCTTTGGGGAAGATCAGCTGCTGGGAAAGAATATCTTGGTTGGCAGAGGACAATGAGATGGCATCTTCCCTGCATACCACATCCTCGTTCCCATTTGCCCCTGGAGCGTCCATCATTCACGGGTGGTTCAGAGGTGTCAGTGAGCAGTCACTCGGGTGTCTACAGACAACAGGACCACGCAGAGCCGCCGGCAGAAGGCAGCTGTCTCCGTTGCCTAGTGCTGCGTGGCAGACATGCCACACGTGGACGGCTTTACCAGACAAATCCATCTTTTCTTAGTTCAGGAGGCTAGGTGTCTGAATCCAGCGTGCGCTAGGGGAGGGCTTTCTCCCTCTGTTGGCTCTTTTTCTCTAAGAAAATCCAAACCAAACTCGCTGCCTTCGAGTCGATCCCCACTCAGCGACCCCATAGGACAAGGGAGAACTGCGCGTGTGGGTTTCTGGGCCTTTACCTCTTTATGGGAGTAGAACGCCTCCTCCTCCCAAGGAGCTGGTGGTTTTGAACTTCTGACCTTACAGTGAGCAGCACACCTCGAAACCTACTGTGCCATTGGGGCTCCTCTTCCCCGGGGGAAAGTATTTTCCCCTCCTTCCAGCTCTGTTTCTCAGTTCCTCGGTGATTTCCATGTGTCTTGGCAGTCATCTTACCCCATCTCTGTTCTGCTCTCTCGTTTAATCTTTTCTATGCCAAGAGAGACCAACTCAGATACACCCTGTCCGGCATCCTGCCTCCTGAACACAGCAAAGATAATCCATCCCCAACTGGGCTATAACCACACACACAGGTTCGTGTTTGCAACACTGATTCTTAGGGAGGACACAGAGGCACGTTGGGCACAGACAAGGCTGTTGTGCACAGACGTGCAAGTCGTGCCCTTGCACAGACGATGCTCTGTCCACACATCCCGGATGCCCAGCCCACCCTTTACTGGCCAGGCCCTGTGTGCTGGGGTGGAGCTGTGTCCACCAAAGGAGGAAAAGGCAGGTTTGGTTTGTTCTTCCTCTAACTTGCTCAGTTTGTCAACTGGCCAAACCGAGAGTTTGGCATGCCAGAGCGGGTGCCTTCTGCAAATCTGCAAAAAGGCAACTGTGTGTGCCAGGATGGGCCCGCCAGGGCTGCGGCCCCTCTCCATGGAAGGAGGCTTTTCGATGCAGGGTCCCAGTTCAACAAAAAGGCCAACCACCCTGGGGGTCTTTTTCTTTTTTATTTCTGTGTGTTCTTTCATTTTTCCCAGTTCGTCAGGAACACACACACACACACACACATACACACACACACACACACCCTAGGTCTTGCTGTTTTTAACATGAGCCTCCCTAGGACTTTCTCGCCTTGTATTGAGTCCTGCGATCTTGCATGTAGTCCCACCTTGCCCTCCCCTGGAACACTTGGCACTTTCCCCGTGGCCCCGAACCTGGGCACGTGTTTCTGGTAGTCACTTTGTTCTTTGTCCAGGCAGGCCCCAGTCTTCTCTGCCCACCTCCTCACCAAAGGAGAAACTAGGACACTTTATCTCACCTCCCTTCTTGCTGCCTTGTCTGCGCACAGCCCTGCTCTGCTGCTGGCTGGTGACTCATGTCTTTGTCATCCTCCTGCCCCCCACGGCCTGCTCAGCTGCTCTCATTGCCTCTGCTAGTGCAGCCCGGATGGGGCTTTTACTTTGCTGGCGTGAGACTGGCTTGCACTGGGTTCCGATAACCAGCAAGGCCACGGGAAGCCTGGGAAGGAGAGAGCCACATCTCAATCTAATGCTCCCAAGAGCCCACACCAAAAAAGACTCCTTCCCCCTTCCTCTGATCCCTAAGTTATGAAAGAATTGAACAGGCTGCAGCTGCTGAAGTTTGTACACCCAAACTGGAGCCATCTCGCTACCTCCTCCCCGTCTCTCTCTCTCCCCCACGTTGCTAGGGAAGGGAGCAGGGAATGCAAAGGTGCTAATACTTCAGCTCTCATTCTGCCACGTTCCATCATCCAGAATTGTATCCCATCCAAGGGACTTAGCGTCTTGGTGGCAGAGTGGGTTACGCAGTGGGTCAGACCTTCGCGCCTACCAGCCACTCTGTGGGAGAAAGATGAGACTGTCTACTCCTGTGACGATTCACAGGCTCGGAGACCCGCAGGAGCAGGTCCTCTCTGTCCTGCAAGTCACTGTGAATGGGAACTGACTTGAGGACAGGGACTTGGACATTTTTGGAAGTCCTTAAAGTAAAACAGCTTTAATTAAGGGTAAAACATCAAGCCAGGCCCCAGGACTCATGGGACTAAGTATATTGAAACTACTCATTGGTTTGGAATGAAAGAGTTTAATTCCTTGTTTGGTGGTGATTCATTTATTCATTCATTGCTTCATTCAGAATTTCTTCAAAAAGTCCTGAGATTTTAGAGCTAAGGTGTACTTTTGATCATAAATGCTTGATCAGGGCAGTAATGAGTCTCTAACCCACTGTCATCAAGTAAATTCCAACTCACAGTGACCCATCGGTAGACAGGGTAGAACTGTCCTTGTGGCCTTCAGAGACTAAATCTTTATGGGTGCCTCATCTTTCTCCCAAGTTGCCGCTGGTGGTTTTGAACTGCTGACTCTGTGGTTAACAGCCCAACATGTAATCCACTATGCCAGCAGGGCTCCTAGTAAAGGGTAGGACCATCTATTAATTTGTGAGACATGATTTTCCCAGGGAAGAAACCCACGCACCAAACCACTACCATAGAGTGCTCCTAGTACATAGTGACCTTGCATAAGGTTTCCAAGGTTGTCCATCTTTATGGGAGCAGACAGACTCATCCTTCTCCTGTAGAGCAGCTGGTGAGTTTGAACTACCAACCTTTCAGTTAGCAGTCCAACACTTACCTGGCAGAACTCCTTCTTGGGAAGAAACAGGAATAAGTTTAAGACAGTGTTTTTTTTAACCTTTTAGTTGTTGAGTAGGTTCTTATTTTTGTTCTTGAGAAAGATCAGGAACTAATGCATCTCGAACGCCTTCTAGGAAACAGGTCTTCTTGCTTCCTTCTGCTATCTCTCTTCTGTGTTTTCCCCTTTCTTATTTCTTTCACTATTTGACATCACTTTCCAGGGCAACTCGGAGAAGTAAACAGTGAGAAGACCTATTTCTAAAAGTTATTAGAAATGGGATAAAATTCAAAAGGAGGGCTTGAGACGAATCTAGGGAGGTTTTGAGAAGAGCAATCTGGAGAAAGGGAAAATGTGAGGGAAATCTCTCTGGTTTCAGGGTATGCTCCTATTTTGGATAGGGCCCTGGTGGCCCAGTGGGGTCAGTGTTGGGCTGCTAGTGGAAAAGTCAGTGGTTCGACCCTGCCAGCGGCTCCACCAAAGGAAGATGAGGCAGTGTACTTCTGTAGTTAAAGACTGGCGGCCTAGAACTGAATGAGATTACACAACGCATTTTAAAGGCAATTTAATCATGGGGGGCGGGGGGAGAACATGTTCTGAAATTGATCGTGGTAATGCTTGTACCATTGTTCTGGACACGATTGAATGATCTGATGTGGATTATGTGCCAATAAAGCTGGAAAAGAAAAAAAAAAAGATTTGCGGCCTCAGCGACGGTAGAGCAGTTTCCCTCCCCGTATGCTCTCCCTAGGAGTTGGATTCGACTCAAAAGCAGCGGGTTTGGATGCCACCCCCTCCACCCCACTTCTGACACCGTACCTCTTTCTCGGGCCACTGCCTGAAACCGATGAGTAGAAAGTAGCCCAGCCGCCTCCCCTGGTGCGAAAGGGGCCCTCCAGCAGCACACCCTGTCTTGGAAGGCACCCCAACTTAGAACGGAGGCCCTTCCCCTGGGGAGGCAAGACTGCCCCTGATCCAGCCTCCACCTTGTGATAGGGCTCCCTCCCACACAGCTCTGTCCTCCTTCACGCCCTGCCTCCAAGACACAATTCCT